CCTCCCCAAAACTACCACCCCAACCATACGTGGGAAGATTTATGAGGGGCGTCCGTGAATGTCCTGCCAACGATTGCCCGTTGAATGTCCCGGCCCGGACCGGAACCTGAGGCCCCCGTGGTGCCAGCTAGTCCCGTAGAGCGTCCCCGGGTCCCTGTTTGACGCCAGGTGCCAAAAGGTTCCATTAGCGATTCTTCATTGTTGCAGATAGGACGTTTTTGACTCTCAATGTAGACGCCACTCTAAATTGGTCCGAATTGAGAGGTTTGACTCACACTGTTATTGGTTCGTATACAACGTAGTGATTAAAAGTACATCGCATTTTTATACTGCTCACAAAAAAGAAATTTGATAGGCTTTTTGGTCGTTATAGAAAGATTTTGATTAAAATGGTCGTTATGGAAAGATTTCGATTAAAAATAAATGTCTTTTTCGGACAGGTCTCCCAGCCGAAAGTGTCCAACCTTGACCAACGGTTTAGGCGCTGATTGGTCCTTTTGACTCTGTCTGCCTACCCGCGATGTACATTGTTGAGAGCTAAAGGGCTCTATCTGTCAGACGTTACTGTTGATTTTGGAATAATTTGACTTCGAGTTGACGCCCTTTTACAATGATGGGTCAGAGTTACAAGGTTCTATCTGCCCGACCTTGTTTGTTGTGTTAGTACGTATTTCATTGAGGGTTGTCGTCTTGTACATGTCTTAAAAGTGAGAAAGACCCATCTCCTTGGCATAATCATTGTAGATGTAACATTTTAGCACCGAGCACTGGGACGCGCTCAAAGAGAACGTAATTTAATCTCATTTATTCTACTGACAATATTATAGTGGCGATCAAAAAAGATTTTAAAAGAAAAAAAAAGTTACCTCTCTTTGGTTGAGTGAAAAATAAACAACTAATCTCTTGAATCTTTACTCTTTTCCTTTCACTTGAGTAATATTATGTACTCAAAACCCCCCCCAAAAAACAGTAAGTAATGTCATAAAAACACTGGTGCTTTTATTAGTGTTCACAGCACCCACAAAAATGAAAAAGAAAATTTTCTTTTTCTCTCCTGTTCTTTTCTCTGGTTGTTTAGGTTAGTGTTTAGGAAAGCTGCTAGAACACTTGATCACTATCAAAAAGGTTTAACTCAACATTAGAGAAATGAGCCGCCCATTTCTGCTACTACTGGAACACTCGTGTCAACTGATAAACAGACGTTGTGCGTGCTTTTTACTAAAACGAGACTTGTATTTTCCCCTTCACTTGCACGCTTATGGCGCGCTATAGCGCAGCGAAGTTTATCTTTTTTTTTTTGTAGAGAGAGCAAAGAGCGACGGCCATGACAGTAGCCGGTCTAGGATATCATAATTCAAGTCTATGACCCTCACAAAGTACTTCACCCCGACTTGATTTATACCCGTAATTGCTATTAAAATTTAAAGCGGGTTCTAAGCCCCGCCCCCTCTGTTCAACGACGCTCCTTTTGTCCAGACTCAACCAAATGTTGTTTTGAAACGACCATCGTCGAAAGA